TTTTATTTATTTCTCTCTTTACTCTCACTGCCCCACAAAAATACATAGCTATAATTCTTTTCATTTTTTATTCCACCTCTTACTAAATCACTCTTCCAACATAACTTCTTACTTACAATTTATAATTTACTTGTGTACTAAATTTATAATTTCAAAATAAATGATAAAACCATATTCGGCGGTAGTTAACAATATCTGTTGTAACAATATCTGTCTCACTTCTCTCTTTCTTTCTTTTTTTTTCTTTTTTTATTTATTTTATTTCTCACTTCTCTCTCTTTTTTTTAAAAAAAAAAAAACGCTTCCAAAATTATTTAAAATTTTTGGAAACAGTAAAAACAATTTCATTTTCACGTTTCCAATCTTTTCCCTTATTAATTTAACATATAATTTTGAATATTTGGTTTTGTAACAAGGTATGACCAAACATATAATTTTAAGAAAAAGGAAAGAAAAAAAAAACCAAAATTATCAAACTTAATTCTATTTTTCTTTCTTAAAATAGAGAAAATGAAAAATAAAAAACGAGGATCGAGAACACTACTTAACCGGCTTTAGCAACTTGCTTTTGGGGCGTTTTGAAATGATGAGAGAGTATCATCAATTATTTGTTTGGTGCAAATTCAACAATACTATTTTGTCTCTATTAACTACCATTGATTGATTGATAAATACTTAATACCATTCCATTATTTAGTATTGAGTAATTTTAATTATTGCATCTAATTAATAATAATAAATCATAATAATCATCGTCCAATATAAGGATGAATTGGGCTTAGCCTTTTGTTCAGTAAAAATGAATGAATTATTTTTAGTGACTAGAACTCATTTATTTTGAGGGTAGTTTTATTAATAAATTGTATTTTTAGTCGGTTAGTCGATATCATTTGATTGAAGGAGATTTAAAATAGAAGATGCATTGCCACCAAATGCAAAAGAAAAAGACTTGGCATTACCAAATATTTGCGGAAATTTATTACAAAATTAATTAGGTTTATTCCTGTTTTTACCATGCCGGGGCGGACACCTCACTGGCAATAAAGTTGGGTTAAATCAAAGTGGTACACTTGTAATTCCAACGAGATCGATGCCCAAATGTTTTTGGGAATCCCTGAGGTCGCGGTAACTGCAGGACCTGGAATCCAGACACGTGGATGCCTCACCTACGCTTGTTTGATTTTTGCCTCCCACTCCCCACCCCAGTCCCATCACTGTAATTTTCTGAAGATATGGTTTCCCCAAGGAAAAATAATAAATTATTATTAAATTATTACACAAAAAAAAAAAAAAAAAAAAAAAAAAAAAAAAAAAAAAAAAAAAAAA